CATAAGGAGAATCATCAAGATATATCAAGATATTATGTTCACGCTCTGTGTGCAAATTGTTCATAGGAAATCGAACCAAGAAGCTATCTGCGGGTTCAAGATTCAACACCGTGAGGAAGCAGAACTAAGATGTGAACTCAAGAACGCCTCGGCGCTCTTGAAAGCTCCAGACTCCTGTTTCAATTGGTTCTCAACCAACCACACGGTTCAAAATGACATAGCTCGGCTACTGTACATCGACCTCTTCAGCAGGCTTCTTGTGTAAATTCTCTGAAGTCAGGGCATACCTTATGAGATTGGCATCAACAGAAGGTGTGCAGCCCAACAGGTCAAACTGGACACTTGTACACAAATGCGCAAAGTCCTTGCACTATATACATGCGTTTGAACGCGTGACTGCGGCTCCCATGAGTGCCTGACCACCCACGGCGTTCATCTCGCTCTGTGTTTGGACCCTTTGGCATTGAAAACTTTCCGGCTGCATCCTTTACAATCTGGGTGGCAGTGCTGGCATCTCATGGAAATCCATTACCAAATGAACCAATTCCGTCCTGGAGCCAGCGCTTGGAGAAGCAACGCCGACGATCCCAAGATTGAAGCACCTCGAAGTCTACTGACTGTACGATACTGTACTCTGAATGAGTGGCGTGGCCAGCTTTTTCCAAAATAACTTGCAACAAATGCACAGAACGAGGCCTCGCCCAGGAACGCACAAGCTCCACGATCTCGATCATCGATGTCCTTGGCACCGCTACTTGGACAGTAGTGCATGATTTCTTTCGAACAAAAAGCACATTGAGGAGCTGAGGCGTACTCACTTCGCATCGTGGTAGCGCCCCGATAGCACGTATATAGTGCATTATAGTGTTGCGCTCAGTTGGCTTGGCTTGGGGGCGCATTTTCGGAAGTCACAAACCGACAAACGTCGGTCAAAGCGCTCAGCTCTTGACGTTGTTTTGAAGATAGGATAAAATCGGCATGCCATCTTCCGAACATGGGCTCATCTTGGGGTCAACTTGCCCCAAGATGGCCCCAACTTCGTCTCGTTGGGTTCAATTGCGAATCAGTGAATCCACCCGGCGAACTATTCTGATACTTTCCTGCTGCAGGTGGTAATCGTCCCAAGCGACATGAGTATAATCGACCCCTGAAAATCAATGCTGATTCTACAGCTGTTTTGCTTTATATTGTCTATATTGAACACCAAGGTGCGTCAAAGATGATTCCAAAGAGAGTCCTCACGATGCAAGGCGCAACACACCAGCACAAAACACACATGCTCAAGAATCCATCCACACAGACTGGAGAGCAACTTTCAAGAACACCCTAATGTTCCAAAACATGCGTTTCGCACAGAGCTTCCAAGACCCACACTTTAATTACACTGGGATACACATTGCATTCGCGCAGGTCACCAAATGTGAGGATATCTGATTTGACCAACGCAGCCCAAATGCCGCGCTCGACGCAGCATCTACAAACTGTATAATGCATCTGCATGCACCCGCCACATTGAGGATATATTTATATTCAAAGGCATGGTTTTAAACAAAGGGCAAGTATAAATCACCCCCACCTTGTTCCAGAGTTGCATCCTGTGGAATCCCGTTAAACCGTTAAGCCATGTTAAGCCTTTCCTCTCAACCACATCGGTCACAACTTGGTCGCAACACACAACAGCCACTGTCACGCCCACGGCTCACCGTGAGGGCTGCAGCTGTAATTGGTCACTACTTCACCGGTTAAACAAAAGCGTGTTGGTCGGAGATGCAGACCGTGTCAGTGTCCAATGGTCCAAGTCATCTAGGCTGACGCCCCGAGTGGGACTCCAGCAAGGGCATCACCTTCATGTGAAGGCTTTAGGCTTGAGGGAGAACTCACGTCTCCTTCATTCCTTGCGCTGTGCCACGCAGGCCACAGCACAACATGGTTGACAAGAGACTATATACCGATATCACGGTTGGCAAATGACCACCATGTCTCAATCACATTTCCGCTTCCACTCAGGAATCTTCATCGCTAAATCTGGACCATAGCTCGCCTCACTTTTGTGCCGGTGTCTGCGGAGTTCAGCCTTGATCTCATGACAAAGCCAAAGCCTATGGCTGGAAGCAAAATAAGCAGCTACTTCAAGGAAATGAAGAAGGCCAGCCGAAACAAGGAGACAAAGATAAAACACGTCGGCGTGCGGATAAGTTCGATTTTTTTTGTTTGGTGTGTCTCTGGTTCAGGAGCTCTTTCTACCACCCACAGGGTTGACACGCCAGTCCGGGTGCGCAGCAAAACCGACGCGAAGGACGTCAAGGACAGGGCAGCTCCAAATCAGGATGCGTGAATCTATCAGCCCTCTCCTTTTCAGCCGAACCTTGTGACCTTCATCAAAATCCACAAACGTTGCAAGCTCGGGGTGCAACAACACGTGAGCATAGAAACAGAAAAAAAGAAAGGTACTGAGTCTCTGAGTACCTTACAAAGCTATGCATTGCCTGGATCAAAGGCACTCATGTGTCAGTTTAAGAAGTGTCAAAGGTAGAAGCGGCTCTTTTCACTTCCACTGGCTTGAGAAAGCCGCTGCGGTATTGGGCTCTGAACATGTGTGCAAACAGGTCATGAGTGTCTGTAGTGAAGTCTGACACCCTGCCTTTCAGCGAGGCGTTCTAGGCTCGCTGAACCTTTGTTCACTTTCTGTAGGACTTACTGCGAGTTCAGCTCTCAAACAGGCCTACAAATTCAACTGGCTCCATTGCGCTCAGTTCTTCTTCTCCTGGTTGTTGATTCCACTTGATCCTCGTCTCTGGGATCTTCTTGTTCCTCTTCTCCATCACTCAAATGGATCACTGCCTGCTGTTCTCTGTCAGCTTGTTGTGAATCGCTGCTTCTCGTGTCCCCAATCTCAATGACGTTGATGTCATCCACGTCCACATACTCCATGCTCACATCGTCGTCGATTGCATCTGCTTCAGGTGGTAGGTATCGAAGTAGTGCATTGTTGTCATCTTGGTTGCCAAGCTCTCTTCTTTCTCCTGAGGTGTGTTGTCTGCTGAATTCCTGTCTTGCTGCTTCTGCTTCTTCTTCATCTGGATGTCCTGCTGCTGCTGCATCAGCTCCACGTTGGATTGCTTCTCGTTCAAGTCTCTTGGCGAACAAAATGCTTCGCCTGTAGCCTTCTGGTGTCTGGCAATCTTCAATTGCTGCTGTCATCTCATTTCTCAAAGTAAAGAGTCGTCCCATCATCTCTCCATTGAGTACTCTGCCTCGTCGATTCATTGCTTCATCTAGGATCGTGTTGATGAAGTGGGAAAGTTCTCGTGCTGCAATTATCAAGTGCGTTTCCACTCCTTCTCCAATCAACAGTAGTTGCTCTCTGTACCAGCTAAAAACTTCTGGTCTCGAAGGAATAATTCTCTCCAGCTCCTCGTTGTTCGTCTCTTCTGATCCATCTGCTAGGATGTGTCCCAGCCTTTGTGAAGAATGCTCCAGCATCTGCCAATGCATGTTCTCAATGTCCACCATGTGGTTTCTTCTTGTTTGTTCTCTTTCTGCAATGCGATCTCCTTCTTGCTCCCAATCATGGTCTGCTTGCTCGCTGCTTGACCATGTCAACTCTTCTGGTCCACTGTCATGGTCTTCTCCTCCGTGTCCATGACGTCCTTGTCCGAGATCAGGGGGATCTGGTAGTCGTCGTTGAACTCGTCGAACTTCTTCTCCAGGATGTGGTCGATTCTCTCCGTGATGTGGTCGATCTCCTCCGGGATGTGGTCGTTCTCCTCCGGGATGTAGTCGTTCTCCTCCGGGATGCGGTCGTTCTTCTTCATGATGTAGTTGATCTTCTTCTCCATCAGGGTTTGCTGCTCCATGTGATGCTTCATGGTGTACTCGCCGTCGAGGTCCTCCATCTCCTTCTTCCGCTTCTTCTGTGTCACCATGTCCTTCTCCCTGACTTTGACCAGTCTGTGTGAAAACGTCGAATCTTGTGCCTGTACCTGGTTGCATCAAGGCGTCTTCTGGGCTAGGCTCTTCTGGTTCTTCAGGAACTGCTTCTTCTCGCTGTTGCTGTTCTTGAATCGTGGCCTCATAGGTTCTCTCTCCACTGTTTCCTCTGAATGGTAGTGGAAAGATCTGTGCTAGGCCTCCTTCATATCTCATCGGGTTCACATTGGCCCAAATGCCTTGTAGATCTACAAACTGTTCACCTAGTTCTGCAAGTAGTCCAGGTGCTCTTGGTGGTCGTATTCCAAGTCGTGTTGCTTCTCCAGGCGTCATTCTCTGCCTTGTTCGTCGAGGTCTGCCTTCTGTCAGTCCTGAAACAAAAGGTCCACTCTCTTGGGATGTTGAGGTCGATGAAGAGCTGCTATCTCTGTAGTCGCGAAGTCGTCGGGATAGTTCTCGATATAGTTCCTCAGTGAACTGTAGTCGACGTCGTTGTACCCGTAGTGCGTTCGTCAGATAGAGGATCACAAGCGTCAGCGCTAGGATCACCAAGTTTCTGATCGTGATGATGTCGTTCACCGTCATCTCACCTGATTGCAATGTCAGGTTTGTGCATCCTTGCAAGAAACATGTGCTTCCAGCTAAAATCACTCTCAAGATCTTCTGAATAGTCTTCTGGGTCACTTCTCTTGGGATGGTCTCGATGGTCTCAATCTCTACACCGTTTTGATTTCCCATTGGAATGAGGCTCATCAATTTCTTTCGTCTCTCTTGCGCTAGCTTCTTTGTGTTCAGATCTGCTGGATTGATTGCTGTGGGAACTCTCAGCAATCTCACAATCTTTTCTCTCACAAGATCTTGGATCCAAAGGTTGCGGATGTGAATGTGCTTCAGTTTACCCTGTCCAGCTCGTTGCATGATTCCTCGGGCTGCTGAACTGTCACTGAAAGCTATCATCTGAACTTCATTGGCTCCTCCTAGAAACTTCAGTAGGCTTCCAACATGTAGCATCTCTGCAATGCCACTGCAACTTGCGTAAAGCTCTGATTCTGCACTGGAAAGTGCTATTGAGGATTGTAGCTTGCATGAGCTAACAAGTAGGCTTCCGTTCAGAAAAACCATGTATGATGTTGTTGACTTTCTGCTTACTTTGCATCCTGCCCAATTGGCGTCCGTGAAGACTTCGAGGTTGTAGTTCTTTCTGTCTTCTCTGTTGCTCCATTCAGGAAAATCCCAATGGTTACTTGTCACTCCAAATCGTTTGAGTTGCGTCAACAAAACTCCGGCATCTTGTGTTCCTTGAAGATAGCTTCCAAGGTGTCTCAAAGCCGTGTATGCCAACTTCGTTCCTCCAGCCATGTAGGTTGACAAAGTTTTCAAAGATTGTTGGATGTCTGGTCGATCTTGCGCTATGTAGAGTGCCAACCCCAAACCAGATCGGAACATACGTTGGTCCTCCGCATTGAGTCGTTCATGCTCCTTGATGTTGTCCTTGTTGTACACTTCGAGGTTGCTGTGGTGTGGTAGTGTCTTGGTCTTCTTTCCATGTAGTTCAAGTAGCTCTACCATCTTCTTGATGTAGGAAGGATTTGATTGTACAAAAATTCCCTGCCTTGCCAAGACCACTTTCTTCTTCAGGTAGTAGAAGGTGTTGTTGCTGCCGTACTCGAAGGGTCCTTCGGCATTCACGGTCAATTGCTTTCTCACCATCTTGCTGAACCATGTCCAGTCTTCGATTCCACTTGCCACCAAAACATCGTCTACATGGATCATCAAAAACATCTTTCTCGTGGAATGCTTGAATACTGTTGGCATTCCTTTGTAGCTTTCGAAGTTCATCTTCTCGACCAACTCCTTGAAGTGTTCACTCCATCTCAAAGCTGCATTTCGCTGTCCTGGTAAGCATTTGAGTAACTTCCAGCGTTCTGCTGTCAACAAGGGATTGTTTGCTTGTTCTCCTTGTGCTTGGGACGATTACTTCCACCAGTTCTTGCTGCTTGACTGAAAGAAAAGCATCTTTGATGTCTGCCACAAACAAACATAGGTTGAAAAGTTTTCCAAGAACCAAAATCAATCTCATCGTGAATCCTGCTGGTGTTGGGCTGAATTAGCTCTCATCTGTGTTGCCTGTGCGATATTCTCGTGCAACTATTCGGCATCTTCTCTTCCACATTCCTCTGAATCTCCAGTCGAAAACACATGTAGTGTCCAACAAAAGAGGTTCTTCATCTGTTGCATCTTCTGCCACTGCTAGAACTTCAAGTTGCTGTAGTCTGCTGATTTCTTCTAGCGTTGCTTTCCTGTCGA